GAACGGGTTGTTGAACTCCCTACAGTTCTTTGAACGGGTCCAGTTCTTGAACCCCGTTCGAACGCCTTGACCCGTTCCAGATGGCCACGGAACTAGTTCGAAATTGATTTGAACGCCCGTTCAGTAGCTTTTTGGAACGCCGTTCTATCACCCGTTCGTCCGCTGTTGGGATAGCTATATCCAGTTTGTTTGTTGTTCGTATTCCTTAGTCTTATAGTAGTAGCTATTGTGAACTTAAACATTTTTGTACCATGCTTTCAAGATCAAATTATAAAAAACTTTGATCATATTTTAGTCACAAAAACATGCCTCATAGCTACAAAGAGTTAGAACGTTACTGACCATCATTATCTTTCAAAATGTTTCGGTCAGTAGATAGACACGTTTTAATGCTGATTTTTGAAGTAAAAGGTTCCTATTTTTCTTCTCCGTTTCCATTAGCACTTCTACTGGTAGGACACGACTGTGTTTTAAAGAGGACAAAATAAACAATCTGAGTTATACATTCAAGGATTCTCATTGGTCCCCGCTCTTTGCAAACGGGATCAACAATGAACTATCGAACTAAGTCAACAATTACGACTAAACTATGGAACTCTCTGCCATTTTCGAGAAATTTTAAATTACTCGGGAAATTTAACTGATTTGTTATGTTTTAACACCTCTGCTAAATGCAACATGTAACAAAACAAATATCTTACTCGCATGTGGTTCGGTCAATGAGACAAATTATACAGTTTCAGCCATGGGTACGAGAAACGATGTATTATATGATTGTGGGACTAACAGCACTTGTACTCATATTGCAAATGGTGTTGGATGGTCGTGGGGTTTCGTGAATGAAATAGATATGGTTAATCGTGCCCAAGCAGACATCTCTTTAGGACCAAATCCAGATCTACGTTTATCATGGAACACATACCAGAACCAAACTGGATACCGCTGCGGATCTACCATAATGAACGATGCTGCTACAGAAGCACAGTGGATACGTTATATATGGCACACTAATTAATTTTACATGTTCTATACAGATAGTTATTTCAAGTGTTTTCTTGACTATGAAGATACAATGATGTCATATTTCTCTGACAAATTCCATTCTTTGCATACTGTGCAATCAGCCAAGTTTGAATGTTAACTGAGACTGTATTTCCACCGATGGGCGTTTTCGTCGTTTGTGCTGACAACTTCGAATGTACATGTTCTTCATTAGTCAAAACGACAACTGAGAATAGCAACTAGTCAACATTTGAAATATCAGATGTAAGTGTTGCAGCTAAGATTAGAATTTAGACGAGATTGGTTCTTGTTTGGACTAAATAAGTTTAGATATTTCTAAATTATATACAGTATGTTTTCTATTATAATTTTACGCTATATACTATAAATAAACCGTTATATCTGTTCCGATACAAAATGAATAAATCTTCATGTTCAACAGCATTTTGAAATGAAAATTCTCATTGATGATAGTATTGTTTGGTGCGTGCTATTATGTTCATTATTAGTATAGATTTACCTTATTAAAATAGTAGTATTGAAGAGATACTGAACAGTACTGATGAGGGGAGATTTCCAAATGTTCAGTCACTTGGCCTCCTTCAAGACAGATAGATGAAAAGCTTTTCATGTTAGATTTTAAAATAGGTCTCGGGAGACTGCTTTTACAAATATCCACTCCAAAAAGCTATATAGGAGCGAATGGATATCAGATTCATGATCAACACTGGAGATTATGTATAGCCACGTATATTTCAAAGAAATATTTGAAAATCTTCATGGAAATTATCATGCAACCCGCACAATATCTCTCAAGAACGAATAGCGCCGGACAATCAGCTCTCATAAATACACGAAAAGTTTCTAAGTTCAAAAAGCATTTTACTTCTACTTGTGTAGCTTATGGTGCCGATTCTGTATTTATTTTTGAAAAAAGAACGTGCATTGATCAATCTCCAATGTCGAGAGATTATCCTCCCGTTTTTAGATGCTTTCTTCGCAGCATAGTTCTCTAGATCACGAGGTGCACATTTTTTCAAAAAAATGGGGACGAAAGAAAGAAGAAAATAAAAAAATAAAAATCCCAGCAAAAACACATAATTTCGGAGTGCCTCCTTGTAGCAGGTGAAAGGGATTTTTCTATATTTTCAAGCACCTTCTTGTGGTGTGTGAGTGCAGTTGAATAGTCTTCCATTAACTGATACACCATACCAGTGTTGTTGTATGTTTCGGCTAAAACGAAATGATTTGGTGGAAGAGAGTGTTGCTGGACTTCAAGCGTCTTCTCAAAGTGTGAGAGTACAGCTTGATATTCTCCCATCAACTAATGCAGCAAACCAACGTTGTTATGTAACGTGGCCAGACTGGGATGAGTAGGTGGAAGAGATTGTTGTTGGATTTTGAGCGCTTTCTCGACGTGTGTGAGTGCATTTGAATATTCTCCCCTCGACTTATACAACATGCCTGCAGTGTTGTGTGATGCGATCCGATCGGGATGATTAGGTGGAGGAGAGTTCTGCTGAACTTCTAGTACATTCTCGAGGTGTGAGAGTGCAGGCTTTCCCGACTGATACTTTCCCATTAACTGTTGCATCAAGCTGATGTTTATGTGGCACTTGTCCACCTCGGGATGAGTAGGTGGAAGAGATTGTTGTTGGATTTTAAGCGCTTTCTCGAAGTGTGCGAGTGCATTTGAATATTCTCTCATTGACAGATACAACTTGCCTATAGTGTTATGTGATGCGATCCGATCGGAATGATTAGGTGGAAGAGATTTTTATCGAATTTCTGGTGTTTTTTCAAAGTGTGAGAGTGCAGCTGAATGGCCTCCCATTAACAGATACACCGAGGCAATGTTATTGAATACAACGGCTAAATCGGGACGATTAGATGGAAGGACTTTTTGTCGGAGAAAAAAAAGATGATGGGTTTCTTAGAGATATCGGAGCACAAAGATTACAAAGACTCCAACCAGTGCTATTCGTAATCAGCTCGTTAAGCTGAATCTGAGTATGTATAATAATGTCAAAAAAAGTTTCACTTGAAGTTTGCGTTACGTGCATCTTACGTGCCTCATCATTCGGTAGTCAGTCGATAAAGAAACGAGTTTCTTGATTGATCATAACAGAGAATATATCTTTGAAATACATTTTAATGAGTTGTTATTACTGAAATACAAACGAGATCTCTCAACATAATTCTGACAAAACCTAGATAATCCTGTATAGGACTTAATGGCATTTGATAGGTTTCGTGGTGTAAGCTAGTGTAGGATTCAGATGGTAGAACTCTACAGGAAGTACGCACACTATAATAGAAATGACATGAGTCCTTATAATACAATTAAGTAGGATTTCATAGGTCTTAAAATAATTTTCTGTGTTTCGTAGGATCCTATACAATGTAGAGTTATTCGTTCAGTTTGCATTCAGTCAGACTCTTTAAGAAGGGGTCCGTGAGAAAATCGATCACATCAGCCGGAGCTAAACTTTTCTTTTGTTCTTAGTATTCTAGTTCGAAAACGCTCATCGAAAAACTAAGTAATCCAAGATATCTTCTCTTCGTATTCGAACTAGAATACTAAGAACAAAAGAAAAATTTTAGCTCCGACTAATGTGGTCGATTTTCTCACGGATCCTCTCTTAATTGTTGTAAATAAAAGTTTGTATACTAACTTATCAAAATCTTATGAATTTTTCTAAACTAATTATATAATCTGTCTTGCTTAATTCTTATCAGTATCTTATAAGACTCCTATATTCCGTCGTATAACAATTTTACCAATATTCTACGCATTTTCACCGGCCGCCTTATATAAGATTCTTCGTCAACCGACGTTTGAGCGACCGACACTTGGGCGACCGACGTTTGAGCGACTCCGACATTAGACACTTTTCAATATGACTTTTTGCCGATCAGGAAAGTCGAATGATTATTCACTTCGGAAACGGGTCCCTCAAGTGTCGGTCGCTCAAACGTCGGTTAATCAAGGTTCTTATAAGATTTCTATGACGTCTCTACAGAATTACCGTAAGGTCGGTCGCTAAGGATTAAAGCCTCTTTCTTCTTTCAGATATCAACTGTTTTAGGAAAGTAATAGTGAGCAATGTCTATGTCTGAAAATCATACAACAATGTTAATATCAAGGTAATAACGGTTAATAACTCTTTTCTGTTATACAGAACGAACATAATCCTTGTGCCTCAATGTTAGATCTACTATTGCGAAAAATGAAACTGCACTATTATCACCCAAAAATCAAAATTTTATTGGTGTATGGCTTGATGGTGACTGTGAACAGAAAACACATGCTTCTATAAAACATGCACTCAATGATATTTTTGATTGTTTGAAATCATTCAGTCTGTTTCCCGATTGTGTTACGTATATCAATGGATCTCATCCTAGACAATTGTTTTTTATCGTATCACATGGAATCGGTATACATCTAGCACCTCTTATTAAATGTTTACTCTATAATATTCACTGGTCATAAAAATCTAAGATGAATTGTATCAAAAGTGCATTCCATCTAAAACAGTGGAACTGTTCCCATATGCAGTCGAAATAGATTTGGCTAGAGATTTTTTACAGACGAGTTGAAGAAAAATCTTTTTTGCAAGTTACTTATGTCGACAAGAAGTGTGGTTTAAAACAAAGCAGTCGATCAGTATTTTACAGAACTACATGCTATATTTGTGGCTTTATTTTTGCTTCTCAAAGATAGTTTTAATGTTTATAAAAAAAGCTAAAAAACGATATAAATACATATAGATATAAAGGATTTTTATTGATAACTCTCTTCTCATATCAAAACGCTGATATTTAGAAATTCTTCGCTATAACAATTTTCCGAAAAACCTTTTGAAAATAAAACCTCTAAATCATCGTATAGAAAACTCACATTATAATGAATATTAAAAAACCTAATTTCGGTTGGACTGTTTTTCACTATCAAAGTCAGCAATTGGTACGAGCATTCTACCATATTACCTCATCTATTGCTGTGCCTGAACTTAGGTAAAAAACATTTTATTCAAATACACTTTAACCTGATTTTTCATTTTTTCTTTCTGAGTAATTTAGGGAACGTTTCAAAATGTATTCCGGTCGGTCGGTCGGTCGCTATTCCTCTATTCCCCGACTATTTCTCTATTATAGAATTTAAATTCTAATTTATTTTATTTTATTTTGTATAGTTCGGTTTCTTTGATTGTATTGTTGATACATATATCGGCATATATATACTTTCAATGTGTTCGTTTTTTTAACAGACATCTTTATAAGAGCAGACATTTTTCTGTTTAAAGAATAAAATCAGAAAGTAACAAATTTTATATTTTCATCA